ATACAAACCATACACAGAAAGAGAGAAGGATGTCAGTTCATCACTCCAAAAGTCAGCTGAACATGGAAAGACACACGGGGTTCATAGGCTTCTGTTAAGTCATCCACATGATCTCAAATATCACCAATTCAGTACAAGCCCCAGGATATCCCAACAGTGATTCCCACTGAAATAACCTAGTAAGGGACCCTGGAAACCAAAACCGTCTTGAATTTAAAAGAATATAATGTTGTCAGCCTCATCCTTTTTTTAAAAATTGTTATTACTCACATTGTTTTCTTTGACAGTTTCATACGTGCATATAATACATTGATTTTAAAAACTTATCTTAATGCCATCAAACTCAGAATAATGTGGTGTTAGCATAAAAACAACCACACAGATAAGTAGAATCTTCCAGAGCCCACTGAAATCAGAGCCTAGAGAAAACATCCTCATATATATGACAAAGTACTCCTTGACAGAGGCTCTAAGGTCACTCAGAGCAGGAAATGTGGTGTCACTATGGAAACCATATATCTATACTTAAGAAATGAATCTATGAGCAACAAGAGATAATTAGCTCTCATCAAATTTTAAAGTTTTGTACAAAGAATCTTAACAGCAGAATGAAAAGCCAACCCAGAGAGTGGGAGAAAGTATTTGAAGGATTGTCTCTGGTATACATAAAGGACAGTCACAAGTAAACAACATTGTTCAAAAGTAGGTGCAAAACTTGATTGACATTTCTCCAGAGAAGATATATGTGCTGGCTAGTTTTAAGTCAAACTAAAGTTATTTGAGAGGAGGAACCTCAATTGAGAAAATGCCCCCCATAAAATTAGGCTGTAGTCAAACCTATAGGGCATTTTCTTAATTAGTGACTGATGGGGGAGGGCCCAGCCCATTATCAAAGGTGCCCTCCCTGTGCTGGTCCTGGGTTATATAAGAAAGCAGGCTGTGTGAGTGATGAGGAACAAGTCAGTGAGCAGCTCCTGTCCATGGCCTCTGCATCAGCTCCTGCCTCCAGGATCCTGCCCTGTTTGAGTTTCTGTCCTGATTTCCTTCAGTGTTGAGCAGCAATATGAAAATGTAAGCCAAATAAACCCTTTCCTCCCTAGCTTGCTTTGATCATAGTGTTTCAACACAGCAATAGTAACTCTAAGACAATGTACAAGTGGCCAATAATATGATATAATGATCTCTGGTATATTATAACTATGTTGTATAGACAATGGAAATAAATGCATCACAACATAAAGCATAAAAAACATTAAACATAAAACTAAAAGGTGCAATCACATACCCAGAAAACACCAGGTTCTGGTGAGTATGTGGAGAAACTGGAATTCTTGTGCATTGTTACTGTAGTAACATATGTAGTTACATAGGCACTGTACAAAATGTTGTCTTAAAAATACAGTTTTACTGGGCCAGTGGCATGGCTCAAGTGAGTAAAGGCATTTGCCACCAAGTCCGATGATATAAATTCAGTCCCTGTAATCTAGCAACTGGGAGCATGCACACCCACACTCTTACACGGAGAAACTAAGTAAATAATGTTTAAGACAGAACTTAACCAGTGACCCAGAAGTTCTGTTTCTAGATGAATGAACTGAAAGCAGGAAGCAGGGTGTTGTGGTACATGCCTATTATCCAGTACTTCACAAGCTGATGTAGGAAGGTTGCTCCAAGTTCAAGATCTTGGGCCATATAGTAAGACCCTGAGCATTATAATAAATGACCAGTCCCAGAGGGACACACACCAGCAAATGAGAACTTTACATGCGTATACTCAACATACAAAACATGTTTGGGTTTGTATTCAGCTCATTCATTGTTTATTTTTATCTGTGTGGGAATTGAGATATCTAAATAGTATTCACAGAACAGTCACAGTTTGAAGTTATTTGCATGTTGCCATCTTCAGCAAGAACTTTTCTGCATCCTGAATTAAAAACATGCTTATTAGAGATTGAAAAGCTAAAGTGTAAAAAGTAAGAGCTTTCCAAAAGGCAACACCTGAGCCTTTGTGTGCAGACAGTAGTCTACAGGGGAAGCAGCCAGAGCCTGCATTGTGAACTTTTCCTGTAGCAATTTCTAGTAAAAGAAATTGTGAAAATAAGTTAGAAAAAGAATATCCAATATTTCATTTTTCTGACATTTTCCTTTGAATGATGTGTGTTGTGTATACACATGTATGTGGAAGCCAGAGGTCGATGTTAAATACTGTATATGTTGTATGTGTTCATGTGTAAGTGCATGTGTCTGAGTGTGTGTGTGTGTGTGTGTGTGTGTGTGTGTGTGTGTGTGTGTGTGTGTGTGTGTAAGCTAGGGAATAGCATTAGGAGTCATCCTCGGTCACTCTCACCTTATTTTTTAGGACAGGATCTCTCACAGAGCCTGCAGCTCGCTTATTTGGCAAGGCTGGCTAGCCAAAGAACTCCAGGGATCCTCTTGCCTGTCTCCCCAGCACTGGGCTTATAGATGCACACTTCACACCTTGAATTGTCTACATGGGTGCTAGGGTTCCAAACTCGGGTCCACAGCAAGCACTTCACCAGCTGAGTCAGCCCTCAGCCCTCTGATATTTTCTTTGATAGTGTTAGGATGAAAGTGGAGGCACCAGAAGTCATGAGCCCTGTATCCTTTGGTGGGAACAGTCATCCTGAGAACTCAAGTCTGCAACTTCTGTTTCTTCTTTAGGGAAATTAATTCTGAATCAATGGAGTTAGATATTCACAAAATGAACACAGGTTTTGGTGTCACTTTAGACACTTATGTAGTATTCTTTCTAAGGTGGTGGTGACATACTGCTCATATGATGACAAACTAACTGTAGAGCAGAGAAAGTGTCCTCTGTGACCTGGATGTTTTCAACCCTTTTAGAAGAACATGGCCATTTCAGAACTCCAGCACCTGGGTTATTTTGGAACCCTAGATATGTCTAGGTGCCATTTGGGAAGGATAGTTTGGTTTGAGTCCTTCAAGACACGTAAGAAGCTTGACAGAACGCCTGGAGGACTCTGGATATCTCTCCTTTCCACTTGTTTACCTTTCCTTAGGTACAGTGAGCAATCACTGTATCTCAGTGGACTCAGTCTTATGGTTTCTCTGGACAACAGTCACATTGAAGTAGAAGTAGTGAGAAGACAGCATCTATATTAGAGGCTGAAGGAATGCAGCCTAGGAATGCAGGCAAGAAGACGTCCTCACAAGCATCCCCAAGCTGCTGCATCTGTACTTCCAGATGGTCCTTGACTCACTCTCAAATATGTCCTGACTGTGTGAGCTGGTCAGACAGCTTACCAGGTGGAATGCTTTTGTAAGGAGACAATGTGTAATTCAGCATTCCAAGCATTTGATTCTGTTTCATATACCAGTTATACAAGCACCCAAGAGTATATTGTCTGTAAGACCACCCAGAAGTAAGTAAATCTGTCTGCAAATATGCCAGGTGCAAGGACCACTGATAGTATAAGACCATGGTCTGTAAGGAACTGCCACCTTTCGTTTGATGCATGACCCTTGGCTGGCCACAGTTTTCTCAGTCTGGAACATGGGATGCATCCTTAGCCTTCATTGCTGGATGAAATGAAGCTGATCACAGCCATCTTTAACACATGGTCTTGTGTTAATAATCTCAAGCTGAAATGAGTAGCAGGAGCCACCCTCAGAGAGAGAGCCCTGACTTGTACAGTCGCATACTCACTCACACAGGCACAGCTGGGCTTGAGAATGTGACTTTACTGAGGGAAGCCACAAGAATGCTACTCATCAATTAAACAGATGTTTATTGAGTATGCACCAGGCTTCATATTTCTTGTTGCTAATAGCACTCCCAAGTTTTCAGGTTGTTTATCTTAAGGAAGGGAAATAGTTTGTTATTTTAAATACTTCCACAAGAGGACTGATTTTGATTGTTTCTATGATGCATTTGAGGGTTCAAGGAACTGATGGGGGTGGGATGTCTTCCCTGAAGAAAAGCAAAAGTGAGAACACAGCATTCCCTCTGGCCATGGGCATCTCACATACTTGGAGTGGATTACCTGTGAGAAATAAGATCTTCTGCAGCTGCTTCTGCCCCCATGTCCACCCTGGCTCCTCAGAAAGGACAAAACCATTGTAGGAGAAGCTCCAGTGTGCAAAGAGACAGTCTCCTAGAAACACGTCCTTCAGCTTGTCTTTTAAATGACACGGGGATGCGGTCGTTAGCATTGGTCTGGAGACAGAGTGTGAGTGAGGTGTGTAGTACATTGAAAGCCCCGGGGATGGCATGATCCTCCTCTGAGATGCTGCCAACAGCAGAAGGGGGTGAGCATGGTGCAGGTACATGCTCTGAAAGGCCAAACCCTCCATGTGAATAAGCCAGGGTTAGCATGACCTATCAAGAAAGGGTTAGAAAAGCCATGCATTGTTTTGAGTGCTTCTATGAGTGGTTTTTAGTTGTTGTTCTTGTTGTTTTGTTTTTACCAAAAATAAGGATGTTTCTGACCACACTTCTGAGGGGAATGTGGGGTACATCACACACAACCATGTGCCAATTCATCCTTCCTTAGTTCCGGCTGCCCACTGCTATAGAGGTAACTTCCTTCATGGAGATTCAGCCTGTAATTCCCTCTGGATCTCAGGCACAATAGTATATTTTTCTTTGTTTCATTTTTAGACACTTTTATATTTGTAAGTTTTTATACATTTTAATTAAAATAGAATTACATACTTACCCATCCCTTTCTTCCTCCTAGCCCCTCCCAGGTCTCCTCCCTCCAGACCCCTCCCATTATCCCCTATTCTCAAATTGATACTCTTTGTTCTTATTACATATATGTATATGTGTATGTATGTGTGCATAAATATGAAAATACGACCTGCTGAGTCTGTTATGAATATGGTTTGGGGCCATCACTTTGTATTGGATAATGAGTAAGGATGCTTTTTGTAAAATGAGTTCATCCCCTGCAGTTCCAGGCCTCTCACAGTCACTGATCTCATGGCCTGTGTCTTTCTGCCTTTCCCACCAGTTTACCTCAGTGTCCCCAGCAGTTCCTGAATTCTTGAAAACCCCTCTAACTGCGGACCAGCCTCCCACGAGATCTACAGCTCCCATCCTCCCCACGAACACTGTGTCCCCAGCGAAGCCTGGCCCAACGCTGGTGAAGGTAGGTGCCCAGAGCATAGCACTGAAGGGCTCCACCCAGTGGCTGGTGCCTCAGTATCAAGTCTGGGGACACAAGACAGAGGCGTGTGTCTTGAGTGCCAACAACCTTGAAAACAAAACCTAGCTTTCTGGGCTAGGTCAGCAAGTGACCTGTCCTCGTAGTAACAGAATGACAAGGAGCTTGGCTTGTATGAAGCGCTGACTGAGTAACATCCCAGGGATGTCTTATGACAGCCAGCTTTGCACTCTTTGCACAAGGTGAAGCTCTGTGGCATCCAGATGGGCGTCTGTGCTGGTCAGAGGCTCAAGAGGACCCTTGGGTTGAGTCATCTTGGTCAGAAGCAGCTTGGCATGATCTCATATGCCTCCAGTTCCTGGCACTGTCCCCCAAAATACACTTGGTTGAAATAATTCAGTTAGAGTAAATCCCAAGGCATGAGAAAAAAAACCTTAAGTACGCAGTACATTTTTAAAGTTCTTAAAATCCTATTTATAATTTCCAAGTAAAATTATGGGAAAAACTGCAATAAGGAATAGACTAACCATCTCATTTGTGACTTTTCCTAAAACTGGTAGAGTTAATATCTCAAGCCTTTTGAAGTAAATAGGACATTAGTATTAGCTAACCTCATGTCACCATGCAGAGACTGACCTTCAAATAAGTTAAGAAGTGGTGTGGCTAAAAAGGCCCAATCTCCCAGGTTCTACTCCAGCCTTTTTCTGCTCTGAAGGTCATGGCAGCATTCAGTTATAAGGCTAAGGATGTCTGAGCCCTTGGGACTCTTAACTTCAGAGCACCTTTCCCCAACTTAACACCAGAAGCAGTAATGTCAACAAAGTCACTTCCTAATGTGTTGTGCAATATCTCCTCCACATCCACCCCACCAGTGTCCACCCCACTTCCCTCAGTGTCACAGAGGGCCAAGATGCCAGCCTGTCCTTGTCACCTCTCTCCTCCTCTGCTTCCCTAGTGTCTTCTTTTAGGGAGGTGCGGTCCCGGGGCAGGCAGAGGGAGGAATGCACCAAGGACTCCTGTGGTAACAGAGAGGCACAGGCTCCAGCAACATTCACCTGACACAGACTCTTCCTTGTACTTGCTGAAACTCGCTGAGCAGCTAACTGGACTGCTACTTGAGTGGTGTGCCAGAGGGCGTGTAATAGTTCAGCAGACTGAGAGCAAGTTACAGCCTTGCTAGTTTCCATGGGATATCTGCTCCCATTTTAACAGCCATGAGCTTCAAGTACCTATGTGATGTCACAAGTGCAGAGTTGGGAAAAGATGTACACTAAGCTTTTGTGAGTCAGAGCAGCCTGTTTCCCTGAGCTCTTTGTACCACCACTATAAAAGTCATGCTGTGGAACCATTCTTTTATGACAAGAGGAGTCCATGCGGTCTGTAGCATGGGAAGCGGGAGGTCATTTCTAGTGAGCATACATGAGGCCCACCCTGTTCCACTTAACACTGGCATGCATTCACATAGGAAGGATGTGCCCAAGAGTGTTAGCAGCCTTGGTGTCTGGTCCACATTATTTGGGGAGGACTTGTCATTTCTCATTCTTTGGTTATAAGGATGTTATATATGTAGCTTATTCACAATATCTGTTCAGTTGTCTCTCACGAATGCAGCCTAGGAGTGATGTCCTATTTTGTCTGGGGTTGGGTTTTTTGTTGTTGTTGTTGTTATCATTCTTTATTTTTAGATGTTTTTTTTATCGTATGAGTATTTTGCGTACATGTATGTATTTGCACCATACAAGTGAGTGGCTTGTGCTGAAAGAGCTCAAAAGATCCCCTGGAAATTAGAGTCACTGATGGTTGTAAATCACCGTGTGGTGCTAGAACCAAACCCAGGTCCTGTGCAAGAGCTGCCAGTGCTCCGTAAACAGCTGAGCCACCTCTCCAGTGCACTGTTCTCTTTAATTGTGCTTTTTGTTTTGTTATGTTTTTCTTCTTTTTATTGAAAATAGATGCTTTTTGTACAATATATGTGAATCAGTTTCCCCTTCCCCAATCCTGCAAGATTCTCCCCACCTTCCCTCCTATCAGGATCTATACCAATTCTGTCTCTCATTAGAAAGCAAACAGGCATCTAAAGAACAATAAGATAAAACAAAAACAAACTGAAATAAGACAAAACAAACAACTTGCTTTGTTCTTCGCCTGAAAAGGTAAAGGTGTAGTATAAATACTAAAAAAGCAGAAAATGATCTGTTGATCTTGAAACCGGAAAGAACAACTTGAGAAAGTTTTCTGACAGCCACAAGATAGGAGAGATGAGTGGTCTCACACCAATTTAAAAATAGAAATTAAACATCTTCAGGGGTTTTAATTTATATTACCTGGCATTTTAAGTTCTGTTATTTTTCCTTATTGCTGCTTATATAATCTATCTTACTCTCTTTAGAAGGAAGCATGTATTTATTTTTACATGGACATACTAGGCTTTTCAACAGGAGATACTGTATCTATGCAGAAGACCCAGAGTGGATGTCTGCTAATGTTTGCATAGGCAGTGTCAGACCAAGCATCTTGGCTGTGCTGAGGGAGCAATGAAGAATGAGAATTTAAAAGTCAAATTAAGTCTGCAAATGTCTTCATGGTTCTTTGAGACAGGGTCTTATTTGCCTGACTGGCCTCAGACTCTATAGGCAAGGCTGACTTTGAACGTCCAGTCCTCCTGTTCCTGCCTCCTGAGCGCTGGGGTTGCAGGCCCAGGTCAGTGGCTCTTGAAATATACTTCACGTTTTCCTCCCCAAGGCTGCTCAAGACCATCTAAGGCACACTGCTTTTTCTTATTTTTAATTCTGAATCACTGAGGCACATGATAGAATCCCTTTCATGAACTGACGTCTCTTAAAATGCTCTCCCTTTTATTTTTTTCTATTTCCTCAAAAAATAGCAAAGCCATCCTAAGAATCCAAATGACAAACACCGTAGCAAAAAATGCAAAGATCCAAAACCCCGAGTGAAGAAGCTGAAGTACCACCAGTACATCCCTCCAAACCAGAGAGGGGAGAAGAGCGAGCCGCAGATGGACTCCAACTACGCCCGCCTGCTCCAGCAGCAGCAGCTCTTCCTGCAGCTGCAGATCCTGAGCCAGCAGCAGCAGCAGCAGCAGCAGCAGCACTACAACTACCAGACCATCCTGCCTGCACCCGTCAAGTAAGCCTGTGCTCGGGCCGTGTCCTGACTTTGGGAGGATCCCAAGCTACAGAAGGTTAAGTGTGGCCAAGTGCTCAGCTCAGGGACCACCCTCACTTGGCTGCTGTCCAAGCTTACCGCAGTTTCCGCAGCAGTCCCAAAGTGAATGCGGCCTACCTTCTAGTTCAACACTTGTCCTCCGTAGCTTTTCACAGCTGTTCGGGCAAGATGCACCCATGGGACCTGTCAGTGTCAGATGCCATGAGAAAAACCTCAGGATGCACACCCACATACGATGAAGAAGCACGGGTGTAAATGTAAATGGGAAAGCTTTGTGGAAAGTTCCACATGGAAGGTTCTAGCAGGCTCTTCCAAACAGAGAATGAGACAAGCTCTGGTAGAGGAAAGGCATGTAGTGGTGGTGAGCAAAGATGCCTGTTGGAGACCATGAGTGATTCCTAAGAAAGGTGAAATACAGGAAGTAGAATCCGTGCTGCAGGAGACTGTTCCACATTGCAGGTGGTACAGTGTCTTAGACAGTGGTGACCTGGTAGGGCCAAATCAATACAAACAACAATTGGATACGAATAATGAAGGAGACTCTGGAAATGTTCAAGGGTAAAGGGTAAGAAGTGATGAGATAATGAAGGAGTCACCAGGTGACTCACAGAGAAAGGTCTGCATGCCCAGGAACAGAGAAGGACGCCATTTCCACAGCTTGAAACCTACTGTTAGGGCCCAGAGGAGGCAAGTTTGTACCCTCAACTCCTTGACTAGAAGGTTTTTTAAATATTCGTTCCAATATGCTTTTTCTGAAACTCAAAGATGCAAAAATCCCATCTCTGACTTGCCACTTACCCAGCTCTGGAGAGGCCAGGAAGGTACAGAGAAGCTCGTCATTTAAACTACTCTGAGCATGCCGTTCAGTATCATGGGGGAATGATGAGCAGTTTTCTTAAGATAAAAACATCATGATGAAGATTAAATTCACTGGTAATTTAGACCATCTTGTGAAGCACATGCCTAAAACAGAGCATGGAGATGGAGAAGTAATTTTGTAACATGTTATTTTTAAAAGCAAGCAAGCCCAAGTGTGCTATTATGGTAGAACAAATCCAGGGAAGGTGGCAGAGTCGGAACAGAACCCAAGCAACTGTCACTATGTTCTAGCTTTGTCTAAGACCTGGGCAAACATCTGCACCTGCTTGGGCACCAGTAGTGACAACAGTGGTGACCATGGCTCCCAGCTGTTCACACCGCCATCCGCCCTGCTGCAGTCTAGTAGGATTGCTCTTTTGACTCCATCCCAGTAAGGAAACTGAAACTGAAAATTCCACAAAATGGCTTTTCCTGTGATATCTACCTATGAATTATCCTTTTAAAGGCGAAACTGACATACTTGCAGGCCAAGCATCCATGCACATAAAACTTTAAACCATTTTTAAGGGTTATTATTTCACGTGTATGAATATTTTGCCTGCGTGTATGTGTGTGTACCATGTAAATGCCTGGTGCCAGAGGAGGTCAGGGAGGGCATCAGGTCCCTGGGACTGGAGTGACAAGACAGTTGTAAACTTCCATACGGGTGCTTGGAATGGAACCCAGGTCCTCTACAAGAACGCTAAGCCCACTCTTTAGCCTCAAAATAAAAATTGAAACAGCTTACTTCTTTACCTGGGAAGAGGACATCTAGGACATAGAACTTCAGACTCCACAAACCCTGTCCTTCCTTGAGGCTTCAGTGTCCCTTTCCTCCACAAGCATCCCCAACTACCATAACTAAACCACCCACCCTAGGAAGAGGAACAAGCCATCTAGTGTCAGTAACTCAAATTCTGGTTAATTCCCAGATCTGAAAAATGAGGATTTTGTTTTTCAGCATACTTCTAATGTTTAACACAGATCTGTCCCAGAATAAAACAGAACTGAAGCAAGGTCTGATCAGCCACAGCCAGAACCCCAGCACGAGGGGAAGTGAGGCTGGAGGTTGTAAGTTCAGGTCTAGCTCAGGCCATCTCAAAAAACAAAAAGAGAAAAAAAGCCCTGAAGCTGGACGGTGGGATTCTGTGTGTCTCTGTGCCTCCTTTTTACTGTAGAGTAGGGCTTCAGATAAGCCCAGGGTGGCCTCACACCAGCAGATTATGGAAGGTGTCATGACGAAGCTCACTTCGGGCCTCAGAACCTCAGGTCTGTCAATTGTGCTTTAGGTAGAAAGGAAATTCAGCTTTTAAAATAACAGAAATAAGTTAAACAGTGAATCACAGGCACAGATAGAGAACCTCAGCCATAAAGGTAGCAAAAAGGATTAATTTGTGGTTCTGTGTGCACGTGTGTGCAGGTCCGAGGTCAGTATCAGGTGGCTCCTCCATCACTCTTGAGGCAGTGTCTCTCATCGAACCCAGAGCTTACTGAGTGGGCCAGCAAGCCCCAGGGACCCTTATGTCTCCACCTCCCAGTGTGGAGATTAGACACATCTTCTGTGCCCAGCTTTGTATGGAGGTGCTGGGGATCTGAACACAGGTCCCCAAGCTCACATGGCATCTTCCTAGCCCCAAAAGTAATACTTCACTGTATATTCTCCAGAGGACAGTATCACCAAATAGGAAATGAAAGGTGGCTTAGGGTGGGGACCTCAGGTAAGAAAGCAAAGTATAGCTGTTACTCAAACTTCATAGAGGGGTTGATTCAGAAAAAAAAGTCTAAGCCTTGTGGGGATAATATTGAATGACAATAAAACCAGAAGTACCAATTGAGTTTTTAAAACTCTTGAGGTGAGACTTTAAGTTCTGTTTGAGAAGAGACTAATGTAGCACGAGTTCTAATTGGTCTTAATAATAAAAGTCTGGAGTCAGATACAGGGGAAAATGCTGAGAGATCAGAGAGTTAAAGGAGCAAAACCACAGCCACCTTACCTACTCACCTTCCCAGCCGAAAAAGACCGAGCTCCTGCCTTATCACTTTCTCTCTGCCAAGTCGTATCACTTCCTGTCTGTCTGTACAGACCTCCAGGCCTCTATGGTTGGCTAGTGGCTAGCTCCGCCTTGTGATCTTCAGGCAAGCTTTATTTGTACAAATTCATGATATGTAAAACACTCAGCATTGAACCCAAACCTCAAAAAACTTGATCTTCCAGACTAGGCATTTAACTGCAACCCACATCAGACAAGAATGAAAGGCACAGATGAAGCATGTGCCACAGCTAGTACGTGGCCCTTACAGCTTTCCTTTCAAGGGTGCAAGCTTAGAGCCACCTTCTAAATTTCCTCTATGCTGACAGACAGACAGACAGACAGACAGACAGACAGACAGACAGACAGACAGAGTGAGCCTCTAGGGATTTGATTGGGATAGGATGCAGTTGGGATTTCCATGATACTGAGTCTTCCCAAATGTGTTCGTAATTGAGTCTCCTTGTAAGCTGATACATTGTTAATAGAGTCAAACCTAGCAGCAGCATGTTGTAAACTCGTAACTCCTTCTTTTGAAGAAATGACAAGAACAGCAGTGGTAGCACGGCTGTACCTGCGAGGAGGCCAGGACCTCTGCCTTCCAGCTTGGACGACTTAAAGGTAATGATTCTGCCTCAAGTTTATTTGCTGCTAAGTCCCTTGCACATGAGCAAATAGCCAGGTTTGCCTGTCACACAGGTAGTTTTCCATAGATGGACAGCAGTCGTACCCTTTATGGGAGTGTTTTCTTTTTGTTCCCATTAAGTTTTGTCTTTCAAATAACTGCTGATTCTCATTTGCTGACATGTGCCTTATTTGAGCCCCATGGGAAAAACCAGTTCTGTGTAGCAGTTCTCCAGTACCAGCTGTGTTCAGGTATCTCCCACAGGGTTCTGTGAGTACAGATGGAGAAAGTCTACGTTTATATGTCAGCATCAGACATCTGTTGGGAGTGGAGCCCACCCATCCCTCTGTGGACAAGGGAGGTAGTTCTGCCATTTATGCACAGGAGACTCACAGAACCAAACACCTGATCTGCTTTTGCCTCCAGGTGTCAGAGCTGAAGACGGAACTCAAACTGAGGGGTCTGCCAGTATCGGGCACTAAACCAGACCTCATTGAACGCCTGAAACCCTACCAAGAAGTGACCAGTAGTGGCCTTGCTGCTGGCAGTATTGTGGCAGTGTCATCAGCAGCTATTGTCACCAGTAACCCAGAGGTGACGGTGGCACTGCCAGTCACAACACTGCATAATGCCGTGACTAGCTCTGTGTCCACTTTCAAGGCAGACTTGCCGCCTGCTGGACCCAGCAATGTGGCCCACGTTGAAAGTGCCCATTCCCCTCTGCCCATCTCTCCATCGCCCTCCGAGCCATCCAGTCTCAGTACCGATGACACAAACATGACAGACACCTTCACTGAGATCATGAGCATGATGTCCCCTTCCCAGTTCCTGTGTGCCTCCCCCCTGAGGGTGGCAGGCCATGAGGACAGCCTGAGCCCCACCAGCACCCTGTCAGCCCTAGAACTGGACGCTGCTGAGAAGGACCGCAAGCTTCAGGAGAAGGAGAAGCAGATTGAAGAGCTAAAGAGGAAACTGGAACAAGAGCAGAAGCTCGTGGAGGTCCTCAAGATGCAGCTGGAGGTGGAAAAACGGGGGCAGCGGCCGCCAGACCCTCAACCCAGCGGCCCCTCACAGCCCCTCAGTACATCAGAGCAGACTCACGGCAGTGTTGGGTCCTCTGTCAAGGATGAGGCCTCACTTCCTGACTGCTCCAGCCCTCAGCAGCCCATCTCCACAGGTAGCCAGACCCTTGTTGCCAAAAAGGCTGTGGTCATCAAGCAGGAGGTTCCCATAGCCCAAGCAGAGCAGCAGAGTGTTGTCTCGCAATTCTATGTGAGTTCCCAGGGACAGCCACCTGCCCTTGTTGCTCAGCCGCAGGCCTTGCTGACCACACAGACCACTCAGCTGCTGTTGCCAGTGTCCATCCAGGGCTCGAATGTCACATCAGTGCAACTTCCAGTAGGCAGCCTCCAACTCCAGGTACGAAATATGTCTTACAGTGTTGCCTTTACAGTGAGCAGGAGTGGTGCAGCCAGCCCTGAGCTACTGTACAGCTCAGCTACTTAGGCTATGGTTGTGGAAGGCATAGTGTGGGTGGGTGGGGCAGGGTTACAAACTGTTCTCACTTCAACAGCACATATACGAAAAATGGAACAACCCGAGAAGATTAGCATGACCCCTGCACACGGATGACACACAAATTCATGAAGTGTTCCATAATTTTACTTGGTCATTAGTGAGTGGCACTACTTGAGAGGGATTAGGAGGTGTGGCCTTGGAGGAAGTATGGCCTTATTGGAGGAAGTGTGTCATTGGTGTAAGACTCTTAGGTTTCAAGGGTTCCAAGCCAGGCTTTTTCTCTGCCTGCTGCCTGGTGATCCAGACATAGGTCTACCAGCCTTTTCTCCAGCACCATGTCTGCCTTTGTGTCTCTATTTATGCTCCCCACCATGATGAAAATGGACTAAATCTCTGAAACTGTAAGCAAGCCCCAATTAAATGCTTCCCTTTAGTAAAAAAAAAAAAAAAAAAAAAGATAAATGACATTAGCATAGACTGTATGCCTTGAGTGCATTGCATCACCCCTGCCCTGATTCTAAGTGCAGGGCATTTGTAGACAAGGAGCCTGAGAACATATGTGACACAAACCCTGTCTTCTGACTGAGGTGGGGGTGCCATCCACATGAGGATGCTGAGGGAACACACAGGAGGCCTGTTGCGACTGTGGGACCTGCTTGCTTGTTGACTCGGTGCTCTGTGCAGCACTGCTGGTAGGTGTTACCGGATGTGACCATAAGGAGAACAGAGAGTCATTTGACCCAGTGCTGTTTTAGTTTCCCCAATACCTGTGACAGCAGCAGAAACAAATTCACACCTGAGTTTAGGAGGCAGAGCCCACACCCTTGGCAAGTGCAAGACTCCTCTGCTTTGATTGTAGATACTTGCGAGTCGGAAGTCCATCCTATAACTTATCTTGAGGGGAAAATTGATCTAAGTGTTTTGTTAGAGTTAATACAAGAACAGACTCTCTTTCCTACTGGGCCCTGTTGAGCTGTGTGCCCCACTATAAGCAGGGTTGTGGGCAGTTGGATATCACAGTTTTCCTCGGCACTCTTAAATGTGCCACACACCTGACTGTTGTGTGTAGAGCTGCCTTGTTTCTGTTTTCTGCCTTCAAAACTTGTAGTGAAATCTCAGCCACATTAAGGAGCAGTGTCTGGTTTGCTGTTTGTCACTGGTATAGGATTGTTGAGCTCACTCAAAGAAGTTTGATAGAAGTCCCAGTGTGTTGTTCAGGCAGGTGACTGTAAGTAATGATGTACTGTGTTTCTTGAGAAGCTAGACAGTTTTGAACTCCAAGTCTCAATCTCCAGAGAAAGAGAAAGGAGAAAATGTTTCAGGACACAAAATGTGTGTGTAGCACAGTGTCGCATGGCACCCAATTAATGATAGTTTTTTATATTTCTATCAGTAAAAAAAAAAACAAATTTGAAAATAATTAACTGGGCTCTCAGGACTTGGGAAGCAGATACAGGCAGATCTCTGAGTTCCGTACCAGCCTAGTCTACAGAGCAGGTTCCAGGACAGCCAGGACTTTACACAGAGAAACCGTGTCTCGAAAAAAAAGAAAAAAAAATTGAGAAAATAATTGCCAAAGATCAGATGAACCAAAGTATGTGACTGTAATTGTTTTGTGTCATTTTATCTCAGCTGTGATTCCCAAGCAGTTACACTGTGTTAAAAACTCAATCCCTTCTGAACTTGAAGATTAATTTTTGTTTTCTTCCTAGACTTCAGCACCAGGAGGAGCTCAGACTCAGCCTCAGGTAGCCGCTGCCACACAGATTCCAGCAGCAGCCTTGGCCCCAGCGCTTCCTCAGAAGCAGGATGCCTTCCCACAGCATGTGCTGGGCCAGCCTCAGCCAGTCAGGAAGGTGCTTCCCTTTTCTGTCACTTCTCCCCAAACAGAGAATGTCGCCCAAGAGCCTGCTCCTTGGGAAGCCCCTGTGATGCTCAGCCATAGAACAAACCCAAGGGCAAAGCTATTTGGCCACAGATACTCTGTCTATGATTGGGGGAAATCTTTAGTATGAAAGATGATTGAGTAGCCCAAGCCTTTTCCCAGTAAGTTTCCAGAACGTGTTTTTATAATCTTGGTATACTGGATTTACTGAGTTTTAAGATCTATTTCTTCTCTAATTAAATGTGTTGTTCCATGGGTAAAGGTAGTTGAAGATAAAAAGATACTCCTGGCATTTCTGTCTCACATAAAAACATCGTGTGTGTGTCTGTGTGTCTGTGTCTGTCTGTCTGTCTGTCTGCGAGAGCCTCTGGCACATTGCTAAGGAACTGCTGCAAGGACCAGGTGCAGGCGCACACCTGTGACCCAGCCCTGGGAAGGGAGAAGAGGGTCTCACCACAAGGCCTCAAAACAGACATTTTTATCTTGGGTCTGAGCCCAGAGCTTTGATCTTAAACAGGTTATTAGGCATCCCGATCTGAAAGTCTCGGGTGCCAAGTCTACTTGAGGGTGAGGCTGAGGGCCCATCTTGTCAACAGCGACATTGGCATGGGTGAGAAAGGAAGCAGAGTCATGCATGACCAAGTCTAGAAATCGCAAAATACCACTCTAGTGTAGTTATGTAAGCTCAAAAGAGGCTTGGCTTCCTTTGCCTGAGGGAAGAGTGTCTACAATGATACTGACAGTAAGAAAGGGTTTCTCACTTCATCTCAGACTCCTAGGGTTAGGAATTATTTCCATAAAGTATTGTTTGCCCAGTAGGTACATTTAGAGAGAGATAGGTGCACCCATGTACTCTCATGGTAAAAAATATTTATATTGGAGCTAGAGAGATGGCTTCCAGATTCAACCCCCAGCATCCACATGGTACGCCATAGCTGTCTGTAACTCTAATCCGAGGCGGAGTGGACTACATGGCATAAGAACAAGTTGTTCACCTGAGGTACCCACTCCTCCTGTGTCTGCAGACCCAGTCCTATTGGCAGCTGCCTTGTCTCCCTGCTCAAGGTTGCCTTCATGCTTCCAGAAGAGACCCTGTGACCCACAAACCTTCAAGGTTTGTTGGCCCCTGCTCTAAAACAGTTTTCTTTCCTTCATTTTGTTATAGGTCTTCACAAACTCAGCACCAAACACAGTTCTTCAGTATCAGAGGCCACCTGGCCCAACGACCCAGCAGCCCTTTGTCAGTAAAAGCTCCAACCCTGTTCTTCAGCCTAGAAGTACCCCACTTGCACCCCTGCAAAACGGCCCTAGCCCTGCCAGCAAGGTAAGCTATAGGGAGGCAGCATCTACAGTGCTCCCTGGCCGAATGGTCATCCTGGCACCTGAGAGTGTGCTGACGTAGTGCTGGAGCTGAGGGAGTGAACTAGGCCTGTCAGTGAAGAATCCTTCCACGAGACAGCCATCAGCTGTCACTGCCCATGTACTCAGTACACCTGTCTGTGAGGCGATGGAGGAGGCACTGTGGGTACCACAGCATAGCTGAGTCACTGCAGGAGCAGTGTGTGGCCAGAGCTAACAAGTGCTTCTCCCTTGTTCCATGCAGCCTAGCTCACCCTCCCCACCCCAGCAGTTTGTCGTCCAGCACTCCTTGTTTGGGACCCCAGTCACCAAGACAAAAGACCCACCTCGCTATGAGGAGGCCATCAAGCAGACACGCAGCGCCCAACCAGCACTTCCAGAGGTGAGTGTGGTCACAATCATATCTCAGCCACATTTCAGGTCATCCTCTCAAGAACTTGCCTCAGTTAGAACACAGATTCTGTCTGGGAGTTATATTTGGGCTGGCTGTTTTTAATTGGCATTTGAAGACTCCCAAGCCACTTGCCCACAGTAACTGTGAGATCAGCAGTTACAGTGTGGCCTCAAGCAAGGTGTCTATGTCTCCTTGGAGCCCTCCTGCGTCCCCTCTAACATAGAGGTAGCAGCAGAGTGGGAACTCTCAACTATAAAAGGCATCGAGCCTGTGGAGGATGCCAGTAACCCTAGCACTTGTTACTGATTAACCAGACACATCCGAGCCCTGTCTGTCCAGAGCTGAACAGAGCTTAAATTCCTAGGCTGTAAGCATCAGATGTGTATCAGCACTTCTAAGTCCCACTGGGAATCTTCCTTTGAGAAAGGAGCCCAGCCTCCTACAGGACCTGAGGGGTGGACCCGAAAATAGGTCACAGTGAGTCCTAGCAAGAGTTCACAGCAGCTAGCAAGAACCTGAGCATACATGTGCAGCCCCATGGCCCACATTCTGTGGAACTCTTCAGGGACACATGGTGTATTGCTGCACTTGCTAAGGCATGAAGAGGCAAGGACGAACTTTTTTCCTGCAAATATCAAACAAGTGAGCTCCCTTAACTAGGGTGCAAGCATCAGCACTACCTTCACGTGGTTAGTGCCTATGAGGAAATGCTCTAGGGTGCAGAGGAAAGACTGCTCTCCTGGTTGTGAGACATCCCAAACTAAACAGAGACTGAGGGAAAAGTCATATTTAAAAAAAAAAAAGTCTAGACATTGCTATGGGAGTCTAAATAAATGAATCTTGGCCTGCCCTTCCCCACGGTCCATTTGGAAGTAGCATCTCCTCCCTGGGGAGCAGAAATGAACTTCCAAGTGATTTTAGTGACAGTAAGAAGGCAGCCCTCACCCACCAAGCATGGTTTTCACACACAGGTGTACTGGCAGTGCCCACCTGGTGTATATACCAACAGAAAGACACCAGCAGGAATTCTGGGATTCAGTGTCACTGAGTTAAATTCCTAGGCTGTAAGCATCAGATGTGTATCAGCACTTCTAAGTCCCACTGGGAATCTTGAGGGATACCAGAGGCTGAGTAAGTCCCTGATGACTCCATCTTCCCACAATAACAGCTAACACAAAACTAAGGCAGACTCGGCGCACTCAGCACTTTGGTGGAAAAACCCACAATCAGAGGAGGGAACTTAGGTGGCATGAGTTCTTCTTGCTGCTCCATTTGCTAATGGTCAGGGTTGCCGGCAGAAAGGGGTAGTCACATAGCCTTCAGACAACAGGACCCAGCTGTGAGCTCCTGAGGAGAAATTCAAGAGAAGAAAGTCCTAAACTCTGGGTTCACAGCTCCACCTAAGCTCCAAGCCACAGAGTCTTGGAATAGACTCACAGCAACCTAACTGCACACAGAAGACAGACTGAGATTGAAGCTTCTACCCAAGTAGCATTTGAAAGCTGAAGTTAACCCACACAAGCTTTTTGTTAAGAAAAGAGCCACTCATGTGAGAAAACAACACAAATAGTATCCTGTCCTCAGAGGAAAACCCACTAAAGCGCTGAACCCAGGCTGAAGTGTGGACTCACCCTGTGTTTTCACCCTCTATAAATGAAAACAGATCCAGGAAGTCTTTTAAAAGACTAACGGGGAATTCTAGAACTAAAAATGCAATGCTTGAGAAAATCATAGGGGAACTTAGCAGAGGGGAGGGAAAGGAAGGGAGCTAATGAAGTGATGGAATTGATCTGGGCTGCACACAGGCCTGAGTCATCCTGAGTTAGCCTCGCACATTGTATACATGAGTGGCCTGTAAATATGTACAATTACATCATGTCACTTAACCTTTAACTCAAAAACAAATCCCATGACTGGAACCTCAGAGCCTGTGTAATGGTTTCCTACAGTGTAACTCCCATGGAAACCCTTGAAAGAGAAACAAGAGAGTTGGGCGGCTGAGTACTGGAAGAGATAACAGCTAGTGCTTTCACAGCTCTGAGATGTTCAGCAGACACCAACCTAACAAAAGAGAATTCCGTTACATCATAGCATCCCATGGTCTGTCATAGTCCTGCTATCAAAAGTAAAGGTAACAGATGCGGAACAGAAAAGCAGTACATCACATACAGGGCCAACGACTATCTGACTGATGTCAGCTTTTCATCAAAACTGATGGAAAGAGGCTGGCAAGGTGGCTCATTGAACTTGACAACTGAGCCGGAGAAGCTGAGTTCCATCCTTAGGACCCATATGGTAGAAGAAAAGAACCCATTCCTGCACTCATGTACAGTGGCGCACATGCAACAACATATATGTGCACAAGCACACTCACAAAATAAATGTATTTCTAAAAACTAATGAAAACCGGGAAAAAAAATACCACAACATTATTTCAAGTTCTTAGTGAGGAGGGATCAGAGAGACTGTCACCTGGATTCTGTATCAAGTGAGAGTGTTCTTTAAGAATAAATATAAGCCAATACCTGGTGGCACATGCCTTTAATCCCAGAACTCAAGAGACAAAGGCAGGAGGATCTCTATGAGTTCAAGACCAGTCTGGTCTACAAAGCAAGTTCAGATAATTTCAGATAAAACATAATCCATCAAACACAAAGACATGGGTTTTAAGTCAAGGGTTGGGGGGAAAACATACCATTCAAACAGGAAACTTACTAGATCTGCTGGTGGCAAAAGACTTAGACATATATTTCACCAAGGATGGTAAGTGATAAATGAGTAAGTGTATGCAAACATGCAACCATCACTAGTCACCAGGTAAATGCATTAGAACCACATCTCCATCCCACAACATACCTCAAGAATTGAGACTAGAAATGCAGAGCACCTGCTGGTGGGAACCTATGGTCTTATTGGGAAACAGTTTGACTATTTTCTAAGACATTAATTGTACATCACTCTGTCACTCTATTCCTAGATACTTACCTGAGAGAAAACAGGGCATGGGTATGCAAAGACTTATATACAGGTTTCTATAGCAACTTTGTTAACAGTCTAAAAGTGAGAACCCAAATGTCTATCAACAAGTAAATGAATGGGAAAACGGGCATTTCCATACATGGAGTACCAGTCAGCAATAAAAAAGGGTGAACTACCCATCAGATATACACTACGACATGGATGAACCTCAGAATAATAATACTGCATGACAGAATCCACCTCTTCTGTATCCCCAAGAAGTGCATGTCTGAATCACTAACAGGAAACTGGCCTCTTCTGAAAGAAACAGAACACTGTTGTCCTGGAGAGGAAGGAACTTCCCAAGTGACAGAATTGGTGGTGATCTTGTTGATGGTTTCATAGACACATACATATCAGAACATCAAACTCCATGATCTATGGTGTCTTAATTAGGATCTCTTGCTGTAAAGAGACACCATGACCACAGCAACTCTTATAAAGGAAAACATTTAATTGGGTGGTTCACCTACAGTTCACAGGTTTAGTCCATTATCATCATGACAGGGAGCATGGCAGGCAGACATGGTGCTGAGAGTTCTACTTCTGGATCCCCAGGTAGCAGGAAGAAAATGAGCCACTGGGCCTCTGAAACCTCAGAGCCCACCCCAAGTAGCATACTTCCTCCAACAAGACTACGCCTACTCCAACAAGGCCATATGTTCTAACCCTTTCAAATAGGGCCACTTCCAATGAGCCATTGGGAACCATTTTTATTCAGACCACCACATTCTACTCTCTGGCCCCCATAGACTTGTAGCCATATGATAATACAAAGTGCATTTAGTCTAGCTTCAAAATTCCCCATAGTCGGAACACTCCTTCGTTGCTGGTGGGAGTGCAAACTTGTACAGCTGCTGTGGAAATCATTATGGCGATTTCTCAGAAAATTAGGCATCAACCTACCTCAAGACCCTGCAATACCACTGTTGGCCATATAGCAAAGGAGGCACATTCACACCACAAAGACATATGCTCAACTATGTTCATAGCAACATTATTTGTAATAACCAGATCTTGGAAGCAGCCTAGATGCCCCACAACTGAAGGATGAATAAAGAAAATGTGGCATATTTACACAATGGAGTACTACTCAGCGGTAAGAAACAATAACAACCTAAAATTCACAGGCAGATGGACAGAACTAGAAAAAAAAACATCTTAAGTGAGGTAACCCAAAACTAGAAAGACAAATATAGTATGTACTCACTCATAAGTGGATACCTGACATAAAGCAAAAGATACCCAGCTTACAATCCATAACCCAGAGAAGCTTGAACCCTCTTCCAGAAACAGATGAAAGCAGATGCAGAAATCCACAACTAACCAATGAGCCAACCTCCTGGAATACAGTTGAAGCAAGGGAAGAGTGAAAATATGAACAAAGGAATCAAGACCTTGATGGGGAAACCCACAGAATCAGCTGACCTGAGCTAGTGAAAGATCACTGACTCAGGTCTGACAAATGGGAAACCTGCATAAGACCAAACTAGACTCCTTTAATATAGGTGACAATGATGTGACTGGAACAATATATGAGGCCACTCACTGGGTCCAAGATCTGACACTAATGCACAAACTGACTTAGTGGAGACCATTCTATATGGAGAGATACCTTGCCCAACCTAGACACAGGGGAGTGGGGGTGGAGAGGTGCCTTGGTCCTGCCTCAGCTAGATGTTGGGACAGGCTTAGTAGGCTTCCTAGGGGAGGCTTTACCCTCTCCATGGAGCAGATGGGAAGAGTGGGGATGTGAAGGGGGTGGGAGGAAAAGAGGGACAGGGAACTGGGATTGGAATGTAAAAACTTAATTTTAAAAATGAACAAAATTCCCCATAGTCTATTACACTCTCAACACTCCATAGTTCAAAGTCTGTGATACTCATGGCAGTCTCTTAATTATAGTTTGCTATAAAATCATAATCAAAAAGCAGATCACGTATTTCCAATACAAAATGGCACAAAATACATTGCTATTCCAAAATTGTAGAAAGGTAGCATAATGTGAAAATGCTCTTCAGATCTCCAGCTCTGTTCAGCTTTCTGACTACACCATAATTCTTTCTCTTGGACTGGTTCCACTCCCTGTTAGCAGGTATCCCATGACTGGCATCTCCAATGTCTTGGGGTCTCCAAGGCAATCGGGCTTCAATTTCACAGCTTCCTCCATTCAGGGACACCCTTGCCACATGCCTGTTTTCAGCTGTTTTCCTTAGTCACATAGGGTGAGATTCTATAACCTCTTTCTTCTATCTTTGACTCTAAAGCCAGAACCATGTGGCCAAAGCTGCCAAGTTCTACTGTTTACTGGGACTGGAGCATGGCCCCTCATTCAATAACACTTCATTAACTTCCTGTTTTCAATGGTTTTCTTCACTGCCTAAGCTTATCTGTCCTGGAACTAACTCTGTAGACCAGGCTCTGTAGACTCAGAGATCCACATGTGTCTGTCATCTGAGTTCTGGAATTAAAGGTGTGCACCACCACACCTAACCCTAAACTTTTCTTTAATTCTTTTCACAAGTTGGAAGCTTAGCTGGGTAGGGTCATCTTGCTCTGAGGTCATTACTCCCTTTATTCCACTTAGCATCAGGCTTTTCTTGAATCTGTTTATACTTTCTGGTGCCCCGTTTCTCCTCAGACCATATATTTTGTATATTTTCATGCTCATCTTGCTCCTTTTCATTATAGATCTGATTAAGCATGGCCACTAATAACACAGTCAGTACTAGGCTGTCTTAAAATCTCCTCTGCCAGAGCTGTTCATTCATAATTCTTCAGTTTAGCCTCAGGCAGATTTTTGGACAAGGGCAAAAAACAGCCACATTCTTCACCAAAATGTCATAAGGACAATCTCTAGGCCACATACTAATATTCCCCTCTGAAACCTCTTGAGTCAGGCCCCCACAGTTCAGATCACCCTCACCACCACTGTCTTCCATGTTCGTACTAGTGTGACCCATGAAGCCTCATTTAAAGTGTCCAGTTGCTTTTCTAGTCCAAAGCCCCAAAGTGTTCCTTATCTTCTGGGCAAAAACATGGTCAGGCCTATCACGGCAATACCCAGGACCAAGTGCCAACCTCTGTCTTAGTTAGGGTTTTATTGCTGTGAAGAGACAGCAGCTCTTTCAAACAAAGCTTTTTATTGGGGAATGGGTTACAGGTTTAGTCCATTGTCGTAGCGGGAAGCATGGTGGCACACAGGCAGACATGGTGCTGGAGAAGGAGCCGAGAGTTCTACATCTGGATCGGCAGGCAGCAGGAAGAGAGGCTGAGCCACTAGACCTAGCTTGAGCTTCTGAAACCTCAGAGCCTGCCCCCAGTGACACACCTACTCCAAGAAGGCCACCACATGTCCTAATCCTTTCAAATAATGCCACCCCCTATAAACCTGTAAAGGCCACTTTCATTTAAACCATCACGTGATAAATGCAACTTACATGTCAGTAAACCTCAAAGCTGAAAACTCGTGCATAGTGTGTTTATCTTTAGACATACCAATTTTTGCTAAATGCACATGAGTTTGAAACTTTTAAAATAAAGTATTACAAATCTCCCAAAGTGCCATTCAGTGACAGTAAGGGACATGTGGAAGACAGGGAGCTGACCTGCTTGTCTCCTAGTTGTTCTTCCATGCTGTGATATTTGGGGTAAATGTCTCCATTTCCCAAGTAACTCAGCTGTTTTCCAGATTATCAAATGTCAGATGAAAGCAGAGGCTCAGTGGAGGACCATCAGGGCATGACTGCAGACACTGCCCCTGTGAAGGCTGCTAACTCTGCTTTCTTTGACTGCAGGTTTCCAGTGTGCACAGTCAGCAGATGGACGACCTCTTTGACATCCTCATAAAGAGTGGAGGTAGGTCAGAAGAGGACAAGAGGCCTCACTCCACTGGCCCAGGGCAACCTTTCTCTAAAGATGGAGGTTGTCTTGGAAACTGAGAAGTGGTCAGTTCTAAACCTGTTCAAGTTAGGTCATTAAAACACATAACAGAGGAAAGGCTCTGGTTCCACATCAGACAACGGCATGGTGCCCCACAGCTGTTACCTAACCAAAGGAAAGACCATTCCCAAACAGCAGAGCTGGACCAGCTCTAAACTCTGCAAACTGCAAAGTATGCCTATGTCCCAGTCTAGCCATGGGCTAAGAAAACTCCCGTTACCTGGCCTGGGCTCCCTCCAATTGTTCTATTAGAATTCCAAGCACTGCTAATATATAAGGAATCATGAAGGCTAGTGAGATAACCTATGGTAAAGGAGCTTGCTGCTAAATTTAATGACCCAAGTCTGATACCCAGGACCTCACGATGGCAGAAGAGAACTCACCCCCACAAGTTGTTTTCTGACTTCCACACACATGCTGTGGTGGCATGCACACAAATAATACAATGTAGTTAAAAATTAAAAAAGGTCATCAGTTTACAGCATGTTGTCTCTAAACCAGACATTAACCGCAGAAAAAGTCTGCCTCAGCGTATGTGTCTTCAAAAATGAGCATAGAATCAGTTTTTCAGAAACTTTGGGGATGGTTGCAGCCCAGTGGCAGAACACTGCAATACAAATATGAGGTGCCATAACATTTGGCACGCACACACAAGCCAAATGTTAAAATCCTCTGGTGGAAGCAGTCTTGTATGAAGTTTCAGTCTGATCACTGTTTCTCCATTGGTGTGGAACATAATCTAACCAGGAGGCTGATGTTCTGGACTGAACACTTGGCTAGTGAAGGACCCTTGCCATCTGCACATAGTTCACACGTGTAAGTGGAAGTTTTTGCTAAGAATATGCATGGTTAGCATAAAGTATGAAAACTTGAGAGTTTAAAAATGAAATGTGTATTTAAAAATAAGGACATTCAATTTTTGCTCAATCTGGTAAAGATAAGGATTTTTTTCTGGTGGTTAATAATAATAATTTTTATGGGGCCAAAGAGATTGTTCAGTGGTTCATGGTTGCTCAGCGTCAATTCCCAGCACCTACATGGTGGCCCACAAACACCTCTTCTGGCTTCCAGGAGCTATGCACACACATGCACGGACATAACACTCAGACACACTGAGCTTTGAGTTCATTGAATCTTTCCCGGGTGTATTCTCAGAAAATTGAGATAGAATCAAACATGGTGAAGTGTACATTTAATCCCAGTACTCAACAGATCTCTCCAAGTTCCAGGCCAAATCAGCCAGGGCTACACATAGTGAGAACCTGTCTCAAAAAAGCAGTAAAAGAGGTTGTTAAAATTCATCTAAGTGAGCATTAGTGTATCTATAACAGAAGTCTGGCACGGAATCAGTACATGATCAGGTAGGGTGATGAATCCATCCATCATTATGAACTATGCAAGCCTGAGTTTGGTTCCCCCAGAACCCACAAAGAAAATAAAAATGAGCCGGGTAGTTGGTGGTGCATGTCTTTAACCAGCACATGAGAGGCAGAAGCAGGAGGGAAGATCTCTGATTTTAAGGCCAACCTGATCTACAGAGCAAGTTCCAGGATGGCCAGGGCTATGCAGAGAAACCCTGTCTCAAAAAAACAAACAAAAAGACACAGTAACGAATGCCTGTAACCCCGGTATTGGGGAGATGAAGACAAGTGGTTCCTTGGGGCTTGCTGGCCAACCAGTGGGGCTGAACAGGTGAGCTCTAGGTTCAGCTTCAAAAAGTGGGGGTACAGTTAGTTTTGAGGAAGACACACACAGAGACCCACAAGGAACTAAAAGGGTTGGGGCTGGAAAGATAGCCCAACACTTAGAAGCACTTTCTGCCCCTGTAAGAGCACCTTGATCTTGCTAGAGTTCTGTTCTCAGCACCCATGCTGGCAGACTCTCCCAGTGCCTGTAACTCCAGCTCAGGGGACCCATGGGTACTTGTACACAGGAACACTTCACACAAATGTATACATAAGTAAAAATTAAAATTTTAAGAGTAAATTAAATAAACAAATAATCAATGCTTATTGAGCCAGTTACCTAATCCTCCAAAATTTATATAACTCAGAAAAGAATAAGAACTCAAGAGTAGCAGCTGTCCTTCCCTACTGTGAAGAGGGCAAAGGAGTCAGAGTCAGCCTTGAATCATAAGGTATATTCTGTCTTTTTGGGAACTTTCTAGACTATACTGCCAAACTGGAGTGAAGTCCAATAGTAAAGACTTTCAAAATAAAGAATTAAATAGAGCATAGTGTTTCTGCTTCTAAGATGAGAGGAGGGTGACAAGGTGTTCACTAATACAGAGTTGGATGGCAGCATGTCTGTACTAACACCAACCAATTCTTCTGCAGAGATTTCCTTCCCTATAAAAGAAGAGCCTTCTCCAATTTCCAAGATGAGGCCAGTGACAGCCAACATCACTACAATGCCAGTCAACACAGTGGTGTCTCGACCCCCGCCCCAGGTCCAGATAGCACCACCGGTATCCTTAGAGCCTATGAACAGTTTGTCTGCCAGCTTAGAGAACCAGCTAGAAGCCTTCTTGGATGGAACTTTACCCTCGACCAATGACGCTGCCCCACTGCAGAGCAGCAGTGAAGATAGAGAGCCTTTCTCTCTGATAGAGGACCTCCAGAATGACTTGCTGAGTCACTCCAGCATGCTGTACCACTCTCACTCTCCCATGGAGACCTCGGAGGCCCAGTTTGTGGCAGGGACCCCCTGTCTGTCTCTCGACCTGTCAGACTCCAACCTGGACAACATGGAGTGGCTAGACATCACCATGCCCACCACATCCTCTGGGCTCACTCCTCTGAGCGCCACTGCACCAAGCATGTTCTCTGCTGACTTTCTGGACCCACAGGACCTGCCACTCCCGTGGGACTAAAGTCACAGGTCACTTGTTTCAGAGTCGTGAGGTTTCAGAACATGAAAACAATCCTGAAGGGTCAGTGCTTAGAGCTATAGCCATAGCCGCACTGTTGCAATTAAAATATGTTGTCACAGAAAAAAAGGACGGTCATAGCCTGGAAGCCAAGTGTGAGAGCACCTCATGCATCTAGCAGTGACTCCACAACTACAGAGGCAGGCCTGTTGCATGCAAGAGACCTTGTGACATGCCTTAGAGAAAGCCAAAGGTCAGGCGCCATCCACAGCAAGTGGCACTGGGGCTCTGGTCATCAGCTACCTTTCAACCTCAGTGGTCACCTCACGACCCCAGTAAGAGGCAAACAGCTCTGCCTGAAATACAAGGCCACCACAAGGGAGGGGAGAAGGGCGGGAGAAGCCACTGCACATGTGCTCCCTAGAGTGGCCCAAGCCAGGTCTCCAGCAAGGCCAGAGGCATTTGAGCATGCTGTACAACCAGCAGCAGCAGCTTCTAGTCAGAGGCTCTGAGTTCCACTCTGAAATCTGTGTGGCCCTGTGATGTCATAGGTCATCTTGTGAGTTTGGGAATCTAAATGAACAGCCTCTCACCATAAGCATGTGTCTGCAAAATCTGTAACACAAGAGCCCAGTGCACAGTCCAGATGTGTTGGTAGTGCTGCAGCTTCCCCAGTAGCCTCAGATGGGTGAAGCTGGTTCCCATGTGATGTTAGGCATTGGAATGTGCTGACCTTGTGACCTCTGCAGCCTGCAATAGAGTACAAAGATGGCCATCCACTGGTCCTACTTGTTGTAATAACTCAGATATCTCTAGAGTACCTGAGCCACGGTATCTCCATCTTTGAAGATTTGCCTACAGACTCTCAGGTGACCACACCCATCTCAAAGAACCAAAAAAGGCTTCAGCATGAAATTCCTGTCACTAGATCCTTGGTTCTCTTTGTATAGGCTTGTAACTGGATGCCCTGCCTGTTCTCAGTGTATCCTCAAGCCTAAGCCTAAAAACTGGAGGTTTTATTTCTTTTTTTTTCTCTTGATCTATAAAGGAAAAGTTATGTTTGTCAAGTAATTTAAGAGTTTTCTAAAATGCCAACTGCCACAGGATTTCCATAACTCTTGATCTAGTCCTTTAGTTACTGGCAAATTGTAAATAACTGACCAAAGTATGGGATTTCTGTTAAATAAGAGCCTTATCCTAGTCCCTTCCCACTCCTTTAATTCTGCATGTGGGCTTCCTACACAGACCTGTTCCACAGGCATATCCAGGAAGTAGCCTGACCCATTGCCTAGACAGAACCAGAATCATTTCTGAGGAGGTTTTGCCCCAAAGTTATCTTCAAATCTGTATTTGTTTAATCCCACTCTGTCAGAATGGTCCCTATTCCTGGCTTTACCCCTCTGAACAGTGCTTCCTCACCTGAAGCTTGGCTTACTGGTAGTTAGGGGCCACCTGGCTTGGGGAGTCCTCTTGTTTAGGAACTGTTCAGTGTTGGGAGACATCACCATTCTGATAACTGGACACTACCGTCTGAGCAAGTTTTTGAGAGCAATCTCACATGATGTACCAAGTTGGTTCTGCTGTACTGCTGCTTGTGTCCAGGCCCCAGATGTGGACCTGGGAAGGAACTCTTCCCATGGGAATTTAGCTGTAGGTTTTGGTAGAGAGGTTTAGTCACCTGTCCAGCTTTGAGTGTCCAAGTATTGGTGAGCTTGTGGGAGACCGTTAAATGCTAGCGCATTTCCTCCTATAGAAAGATTTAATTTCTGTAATCCTGAGTTGTGAGTAGAGACAGCATTCTAACCCTCAAGTTCTTGTATTGCTTTTTAAGTTGCTTTGAAGCCTGTCACAAGAAAGTTGTTCTCCATATACAAGTGAGTACAAAGGAAGCCATCTCCGTTGTTCATGTACCCATCCTGTCCAGGCTTCAATCCATCAGGGTCCCATTTCTTAAAAACTAAGGAGCCTCCAGCTCCCAGCTTCACCTGCAACCAACTCACCTACAGCATTCCTTGCCCTGCTCTGCTGGTTCAAGCATCCAGTAGGTACTTATGACACCAGTGACATGAGAGTTAGGCCTCCCCCACATGCTCTAGGTGAGAGTGGCCATCTTTCCCATGTGCTCACATAAACGTGTCATGACCAGAGACCATTCGGCAAAAAGGCCTCTTGACCCAGCTCCAGCCCTCAGTGAGTGTGTCAGAAAAGGTGTGTGTTAGGCCAGCAAGATTACTCAGCAGGCCGTGGTGGGGCAACAGGCCTGAGGAGCTGAGCTTGAGCCCCAGAATCCATGTAATAGAACAGAACTGACTCCCACAGTTGTCCTCTCACCTCCCCACACAGACCCATCTGCAAATGGGTGTGAAGTTATTTCCCAGCCACTAAAGCACAGGTCAGCGAGCCCATCAATTCCCACTGCATGTACATGTGCAGTAGGCAGGCTTCTGTTTGTACCATGTTTCCAAGGAAATCTCTCCTAGAAGCCTGTACTATCTGACTCCAGCTTCGCTTTTCCACATATCCCCAAGTGAACGGTATCAACTTGACTTTGTAAGGTACAGCTTTCCAGTCATCCCCTGGGGTGGGATGAATAGGAAGAATTGCCCTCCAGCTTCTAGAAAGCTGATGTGGCTTGGCCTCTCTAGGAAATCAGCACTCATTCAGGCATCCTCCTCAGGTGTGCGGTCAACACACCACAGAGATGCTCTGAATTCATGGAACTTTTTGCTCAAATACCTATGTGTTTGTTTCACACATATATTTCCTAAGACTTTACTAAAATCTTCTTTCAAAAGCTCCATGGCTCCCTGACCACATGCTGTGTGTGCCTTGCTGGTCTGAACACTCCATAAAGCCAGGTGGGCTCTGCAGAGTCAGGGACATGGGGCAGTGCTATTGGCCCACGCACACAGTCAGCTGACCCAGAGCAGGTGAGAGCAGTGTCCACCTTGTCAGCAGAGTGGACTCAAACCACCCGAGCCCAGTTATTCCAGGTAATTTTCCTAGCAGTGACACCTGAGGAGACAGCTGTCCCTCAAGTTAGAGGGCAGCCCCTTTACTGTCCTCAAGCAGACCTGCCCAGAGAAGTGGCCAAGAAGACCCTACGTCACATCGACACCCTTAGCTGTTCCCACAGTGGCCAGTCTCAGAAGCTGCCGCTGGTAGGAGGCTGGGGACTTGGGTACCACCAAGACTGCAGAGAAAGCTGAGAGTAGCTGTTACATTCTACCATCAGAGCAACTGGGTCTGGACTGGCAAACTCAACATCCACGCTTGCTTCTATCCATCACAACACACAACACTGGGCACAAGGCCTGCCCCAGAGGACAGTTAGCCCCAGGTTACCCCAGCACACTAACTGAAAAGCCAGGGTTGCTAGGAAACACTGGCCATGCTCACTGGAGGTGTATTTGGAATACTAAAAGCTCAGCTCGTTGTAAAGAGTTCTGTCAAAACTGGAAACTAGCAGTTCAGATATAGTCCTTTTGTTTCCTGGTTCAGACCTTCAGTGGCTTGTTCACTCATCAGTCTCTGGGCTCCGTTTTCTATTTGACTGGGTGGCAGTGAGAAGGTCATTTTTCAGCTGCTCACCCTCTCACAGAACCTGAGAAGATGTGTCCCTGTGTCGTTTAAGGCATGTGATAGAAGAAGCTGCACATGTTCACAAGCTTTCTCTCCACTCAAGCCCTGGGGAGTGGGCTGTCACAGGCTTGTGACAGTAGCTTGACAATCTCATGTACTAGGTGCTGTCTGGAAGCCCAGTATGACATGTCATCAGAGACATCAGCAGTGACACAAAGCTTTATGCCAACACCCTAGACAAAGCTTAGCAATTGGATAGGCTTGCTGGAAGATGGCCCAGTCGTGTCACTTCTACATCCTGCTGGGAGGACCCTACCCACCAACAGGAGATGACGGTTTAGGCAAGGGTTCAGTATCCACCAAAAGTACTTGACCTCAAGAAACCAATAATAATGCAAAATGCTTAAAGGAACCAAAGGCATCGCCAGGTATTTGCCAAAAGCAGCCACTTTTTATTTAAAAATTGAGACTAATCTCAAGTCAGTCCCAAAAAGGTATCCATTTAAGGTTATAATTTTCACAGAGATGTAGATATTTCTTTCTTGTTTTCCTGTAAAATAGTATAGAGCTGTTTTGTTGGTTTAAGAATAACATACTTGGTAGTAATGTAAAGTTGTTTTCTTCTGTGTCGAGGTTAATTCTCCGTTGCTTGCAATGGACATGCAGGTGTTTCTCTTCATCTTCACATAATGTCTTAGCATCTCACTTCCTGAAGAAAAGGGGAATACACCAGGGGGCAGCGCCATTCTTACTGAAGCACTAGTTTCATGAACAGGAAATCATGGCAATCGGGGGTCCATTCGTGTGTTGCCTTTATGTTGTTTTTAAAAGAAAAACCATGATGCCTTTGTATGTGCTGTTTGCACCCCTGACTCGATTCTGTACTGTGTCTGAATGCCATATGTTTGCACATGTACTGTACATAGGCGATGCAGACTGTATTTTTATATGTGTGTGCATTTATCATCAGATCTTTTTGTACATAGTGGCAGTATTGTAGCTGATCGGGAAATGTTTGATATCTCAGCGATTTTGCATTTTTGTGTCTCAAATAAAAATTTTTGATGTACCATGATTTTGTGTGTACAGAAGAACACACTGTGGGGAGTGGGACCATGTAGACCTGTGAGATGGGGCAGCCTCAGGGAGGACAGCATCCTCAGAACAGCTCCCAGCCAAGCAGCAGGGCCAGTGGTATGACATGTAGACCCCACAGAAAATAGGCTGCCCGCCTCATGTCCTCACAGTGTACAGCAGAAACTTGCAGGTACCTACTGACCACCAGGTCCTGTTCTGTCCTCCAGAGAGTCAGGAGCCACTGGGTGAAAAGCGCTAAAGTTTGTGGGCCTTGCTATCTACACTATCTACAGTGAGAACTGACTCCTCTTCCATGGAGACAAGCACACCACCACCAAAACTTCCAGACACCCAGAACTGAGTTCCTCAGTTAAGTCTCAGAAACAACCACCTATGTAGAAAATATCTTATGGTCCATATAAAATGCTCTTTAAGAGTAAATTGTGGGGAGAGGCATTTTGGCCAAAAACCCCAAGGTTAAATGGGAGTTAATGTTTTATTTTCTTCTTAGCTTAGAAGAAGCCAAACAGCGAGAAAGCTTGATTGACAATCATAATTGATAACACGTGTGTGACAGTCACAGGAGGTAGTCCCTAGTAGCAGAAGAAAGCTAGTTAAATTGCTAGTTATCCATGTATCCTGGGTGCAAGGGAGCAGCCAAAAGATGGGTGATGGAGCGGTCTGCAGTGTCCCTCATCTAACAGACAGATCTGCCTGTCTGTGGGGTGACATTGTGCATGGGGCAGAGCTGGGATACTCAGGCAGGTGTCGGGAGGAAAGGGAACCCTGGCAACGAGCTTTTAATAATTTTGGGGTTAAAAACAATTATTGCAAAAGCAGAATTAAACTTTAGAGAGAACTATCTAGAGCCTTCCTCGCATTGTACGAGAAACAACAATATCTGGAGCCCCTACATTCTATACTGCCGCAAATAAGTAAGAAAAGGCAGGTTACTAATCAGAAAATTAAAGTCAAAAAGTCAGAATTATACACTATCATTGTATTAATAGATCATAAGGAACCTCTCAAACATAGTTACTGATTCACAATATGCAGAGTTTTACATATTGAAACTGCTGAATTTATACCAAGTGATACAGAATTGACTTCATTATTTATTGGTAACACGGATTAATAAATGACCCAGAGACTGATATTGGAGTTCAGACTTAAAGCTGAAAATCAGAAAAGCAAAGCAGCTGGCCACTAGCTTCTTACCTCTACTTAAGGCTGAAAGGGCTGATCCACGCCCAAGGTCTTTACCAAGTCTCAAACTATTGCCTCTCCTCAGTGTGTTTTTACATACTTCCCTATTATTTGCATTAAAGGTGTGAGCTATAATTCTCTTTTAGACTGATTCACTCTTGTGTAGATCTGGGTGGCTTTGGACTCACAGAGATCCATCTATCTCTTAATCCTGAGTCCTAGGATCAAAGGTGTGCACCTCCACTCCTAGCTTCTGGCTGCTGGGATTAAAGGTGTGTTCCACCACTACCTGATCTCTATAGCTTGAGGCTGACTTTGCTTTTCTGAATCCTCAGTCAAGCTTTAATAAATCATAAATAATATTTACATTCAGTTACAAGACAATCAGGTACAGGAATCATCCCATATATGTAACACACATCTGTTCCCATATGGGTCTGCCAGGCCCTTTAGCACAAGGTAATGATGAAATTGAGCAACTATTGATAGGAAATGTGATAAAGGCCTCAGAATTTCATGAAAAACACCATATCAGCATCAAAGGTTTGAAAAAGCACTTTTCTATCACTTGGCAATAAGCCAAGGATATTATAAGGAAATGTCCTACTTGTTTTTATACACCCAGACTCTATTACTTGCAGGAAATAACCCAAAGGGTACTCAACTGAAATCTGGCAGATGGATATGTTCCATTTAGTAGAATTTGGAAATTAAAATATGTACACCATACCGTTTGTTTTCAATGGGCAACTACTTTGAGTTCAGAAAAGGCTGATTCGTTAATAACACATTTGCTAGAAGTTAATGGCCATCGTGCATATACCTGCACAAATAAAGACAGGAAATTCTCCAGCATATGTCTCTAAGAAAATGAAAGTTTTTTTGCTTATTATAATATTAAGCATATTACAGACATACCACACAATCCTACAGTGCAGGCAGTTATAGAAAGATCAAATTGAACTCTAAAGGATATGCTAAATACACAGAAAGGGATGACAACAAACTCCCAAAATAGATTGCATAGTGCTTTATTAACTTTGAATGACCTGAATTCTAATGAGAAAGAAACAACAGCTTCAGAGAGACTTGGATAATAGAAAAAACTATGGAATTAAATCAGCCTGTATGTTTCAAAGATGTGTTGACCTCCAAATGGAAACCAGAACATGTGTTATATTGGGAGAAAGGTTTTGCTTTTGTTTCCACAGGTGAAAATATATATATAGATACCATCAAAACTAATAAAGATTCAATTTGAACAAGACACCTCTTAATTAGAAGAGATGATAGTCCATCAAGCAACATGGCCATTTAATCAAAGCTAACCTGTGAAACCAACAAATGCTTTTCATTTGATCAGATATTACTTCGCAAAGGAGAACTTCCTCAAAATATAGGGTTGGGGAAGGGTTTAATCTTGTCTTTTCAGGAGAATAAATGTATCCAGCTAAGGAATCTGGAGACCACTGGACAATTGAGACATCTGAAGATATGTGACAAATAATCCATAAAAATTGTCCCAAGAAAAGTAGTAAATTGGCCTATTGGTATATCATATTTACAATAGGATAAAATTTCATAAATCTCTAAATGTTTCTACTTTTCTCTACAGACGTATAATGCAAATGGTCTTTTTGTAGTCCCATCCAATTAAAGATTAAAGCTGGCTTTGGAGTTGGAGTGTGGCTCTTTCCTTTTCCAAACACAAGCATGGTTGTTAAAGAAAAATCAATACTCTGTCTCATCTGAGAGGAGCCACCTGATATGGAACAGAAATAAAACAAATATTTAAGAACTATTTATTGCCACTAATCTCTTAATCCTTTGGTTTTATATTGACTTTTAACAGCTTTACTTAAAGCATAAGTATTACATCTATATAAAATTTAAAAGACTAATATATATGTATTTTGAAGTTCTGCCATGATATTAATGGTCATATAGATTACTAATTAATTCTAGGAAAAGGTTTCATCTACCTTCCTGTACGTGACTTCAGGTTTGAATCTCTACCAGCTCTCTACAGTGAACCATAACAGCATCTTTTAAGTCTCCAAAAGGAAGACAGGGCCCCACACCAACAATTTCACCAGGACTATGACAACACCTTTAAGCTGAACAACTCCAAATAAAGGTCAGTTTTGGACTACAAACTACTCAGAACAATTTTAAAGTGGCTATCTGAGATGATCCGGACTCACAGACTACTCTAGCCAGGACTTGAGACAAGCCCTGCACTTTCCCATTATGCAGAGACAGGATGACAAATGATACATCCTGGCAATTAATCCTAATTTCCTTTTCTGAATCCCCTACAGATGCCATCACCCCCAGAGAGCAGGAAGTACTTTAAGAACACGATGCCCACATTTCCAAGAGGTGGGGTGGGTGGCTTTTTGTCACTCAATGGGTTATGGATATTTGTCATTGTTGGGGGGGATTGGTTACAAGTTGTTATTGGTAATTGGCAAAAAAAAAGAATACAGATATGATGCAATAAGAAGGTAGATTATTGAATCTACTTTTTAAAAGCAACTGTTAGTTTTACATATTTGGCATTGGATTGGACTTCTGTATATTGTATACAAATATTCCATATTGATACAAATTTAGATTAATTTTGTTAAAATATACTGTAGATCTATTTCTGAAATTGTTCATGGTATTACACCTATACAGCTCATTTATCAATGTAATGCAAATTTTAGTCCTTCAAAGTTATTATTGCCAATTATATAGGATAATAAGGAAATTTAGGTTAGTAATTAGTCAATTATTACAATAAAACTTGCAGCCATTACTTAGGCATGTTATCAAGATCAAACAGATATATTTTAAAAAGACAAGTCATCTCCAAACACTTCAGAGATCTACAGAAAGTAGCATTTAAGATCATTTGATAACATAGGGTTTTTTTTTTTATGACAATGAGACCTGTCTGTTCCTGGCAGCACCAATATACTTAAGAGAAGATGATGGACATTGAAGAAATTCCACATAGAATTTACTTTCTTTGTGGAAAAGTAAGCTGGACAAGAAGTGCCCTTGATTCTACTGCCGACAGTACGCTGTCCAAATTGGACAAACAGGACACCAAAGAGAGTGACTGCAAACCTTGTCAAGACAAGGTGGGATAGTCCCTGCTTCACAGAAAGTCTGTCAGACATGCTAGGCCTATAGGCCAATGTTGCAGAGGAACCTTGGTTGACTGTCCAGACAGCTCTTTCTGTCATTTCTCACATTTTTGGAAATCTCTTGCTTGCACTTCCTACTTACTCAGTTAATATTATTTCCTTCTTGGATATCTGAGGTAGTTGAAAACTAGATGGTTTAGTTATTATAGTTTTTCCTTGTTTACCAGATTCAGAAAAGAACCTACTAAAGATATGTAAAGTGTAACGGGTTGAAAGTCATTAAAAGATAATTTGATAATGCAAATTAGAATAGAAAGTAAATTAGGTACAAGTGTTTGTACTCAGCAAGATAGGCTAATGAAGGATGTTCTCTGAATTTGTCAAATGCAAATGGACTAGACATTGTTAATGTACTTATTGCCTTTATATATTATATATACTTATTATACTTATTATATATAGTTTTTTCTTATGTTAGTTATAGCCTTCTTTTGTATTAGACAAAAAGGGAAATTGTGGTGATATATTATTTATGATTTATTAAAGCATGCCTGAGGATTCAGAATGCAAACCTAGTCACAAGCCATAGAGGTCAGGCAATAGTGATACATACCTTTAGTCCCAGCTGCCATACTAGCAAGACATAGAGCCAGGC